AACCTGAGAATAGCGTTCCGATACCTCAATAAGGAATCGTTCAAGACACTGTACACTGTGTATGTTAGGCCCATACTGGAGTATGCAGCACCAGTCTGGAACCCACACCTGGTCAAGCACGTCAAGAAGTTAGAGAAAGTACAAAGGTTTGCAACAAGGCTAGTCCAGAGCTCAAGGGAATGTCGTACGAGGAAAGGTTAAGGGAAATCGGACTGACGACACTGGAGGACAGAAGGGTCAGGGGAGACATGATAACGACATCAAAGATACTGCGGGGAATAGACAAGGTGGACAGAGATAGGATGTTCCAGAGAGGGGACACAGGGACAAGGGGTCACAACTGGAAGCTGAAGACTCAGACGAGTCACAGGACGTTAGGAAGTATTTCTTCAGTCATAGAGTTGTCAGCAAGTGGAATAGCCTAGCAAGTGAAGTAGTGGAGGCAGGAACCATACATAGTTTTAAGAAGAGGTATGACAAAGCTCAGGAAGCAGAGAGAGAGAGGATCCAGTACGATCAGTGAAGAGGCGGGGCCAGGAGCTGAGTCTCGACCCTGCAACCACAATTAGGTGAGTACAATTAGGTGAGTACACACAGATATAGGAAGTATTTCTTCAGTCATAGAGTTGTCAGGCAGTGGAATAGCTAGAAAATGACGTAGTGGAGGCAGGAACCATACACAGTTTTAAGACGAGGTTTGATAAAGCTCATGGAGCGGGAGAGAGAGGGCCCAGTAGCAACCGGTGAAGAGGCGGGGCCAGGAGCTAGACTCGACCCCTGCAACCACAAATAGGTGAGTACAAATATGTGAGTACACACACACACACACACACCACACACACACACACACACACACACACACACACACACACACACACACACACACACACACACACACACACTCTTACTCTCTCACTCTCTCACTCTCTCACTCTCACTCTCTCACTCTCACTCACTCTCTCTCACTCTCTTACTCTCACTCTCTCACTTTCTCTCTCTCACTCACTCTCTCACTCTCACTCACTCTCACTCACTCTCTCACTCTCACTCATTCTCTCACTCAGTCTCTCACTCTCTCACTCATTCTCTCACTCATTCTCTCACTCATTCTCTCACTCTCTCACTCTCTCACTCTCTCACTCTCACACACTCTCTCTCTCTCTCTCTCTCTCTCTCTCTCTCTCTCTCTCTTCTCTCTCTCTCTCCTCTCTCCTCTTCTCTCTCCTCTTTAGATAGTACATTGGTAGACAGCAACCACCCAGGGAGGTACTACTGTCATGCCAAGCGAGTGTAAAACGGAAACCTGTAATTGTTTTAAACGATGGTAGGATTTGCTGGTGTCTTTTTTTTCTGTCTCATACACATGCAAGATTTCAGGTACGTCTTGCTACTTCTACTTACACTTAGGTCACACTACACATACATGTACAAGCATATATGTATATACACACCCCTCTGGGTTTTCTTCTATTTTCTTTCAGGTTCTTGTTCTTGTTTATTTCCTCTTACCTCATTGGGGAAGTGGAACAGAATTCTTCCTCCATAAGCCATGCCGGGAGCAAGGGGCTAGTAACCTCTTCTGTATATATTACTAAGTGTAAAAGGAGAAACTTTTGTTTTTCCTTTAGGGCCACCCAGCCTCGGTGGGATGCGGCCGGTGTGTTGAAAGAAAGAAAGATATATATATATGGTCTCTAAGGGGTCATAAACAAAAATTTAGGAATAGATGATAGTTCATGTGGCTGTCCTAATTGGGGAACAGTTTGTTGTGGAGTACTGTACAGGATGCTATATGTTTTATAATATATAAATGACCCACGTTGAGCAGTAAAGAAAAAATGTGAAGATTTCTGGTGCCCTTGAGACCCTCCTCAGGCATTGACAAGGTTCTCAAGTACACTGACAATATTTGTGTTCTTTCCTGTACTGTTGAATATGGGTTATTTGTATATATGCACAGTAGGTATTACCCATATGGTCAGTGTATCATTTACAGTAACCTCTCTTATGAAGCTCCTCTACACAGTGCGATTATTTTGTAAATGAGATTAAAAACAATAAGTTCAATATTGGGTGCAGTTATTCAGTCACATTCATTAAAAAATTACACTATATATAGAAGCTTTATAAGAGCGTTGGCTTCATTCAGTTTGATAAATTAGATACTTGTGCTACACTTGGGGATCTTTATTGTGGAAATGTTTTACCACACAGTGGTTTCATCAGTCTGATATAGAGAAGAATGGTTGAAGATCAGAAGGAGTTTGAGGTAATCAGTCCCTCTGCCTGGAGTTAATGTAATTAGTCCATCAATCTTGGATTCTTATCATGATTAATGGACTGATTACATTGACCCCAGGCTGAGGGACTGATTACCTCAAACTCCTGATCTTCAACCATTCTTCTTTGTATTGGACTGAGGAAGCCACTGTGTGGGAAAAAGTTTCCTCAATAAAGATACCTAAGTGTTGCACTTGTACAGTGGACCCCCGCATAACAATGGCATCACATAGCGATTAATCCGCATACCGCTTGCTTTAATCGCAAAAATTTTGCCGCGCATACCGATTAAAAACCCGCTCACCGATTTTCGTCCGAGACGCGTCCAATGTGCGCCCTCAGCCAACCTCACATGTGCCGCCCGTGCCATTGTTTACCAGCCAGCCTCCGCGGTAACATCCAAGCATACAATCGGAATATTTCGTATTATTACAGTGTTTTCGGTGCTGTTTCTGGAAAATAAGTGACCATGGGCCTCAAGAAAGCTTCTAGTGCCAACCGTACATCAATAAGGGTGAGAATTCCAATAGAAATGAAGAAAGAGATCATTGATAAGTATGAAAGTGAAGTGCGTATCGCCGACCTAGTCAAGTTGTACAAGAAACCCCAATCAACCATCGCTACTATTGTGGGCACCAGAAAGACAATCAAGGAAGCTGTTCTTGCCAAAGGTTTAACTGTGTTTTCGAAACAAAGATCGCAAGTGATGGAAGATGTTGAGAGACTCTTATTGGTGTGGATAAATGAAAAACAGCTAGCAGGAGATAGCGTCTCTCAAGCGATCATATGTGAAAAGGCTAGGAAGTTGCATGAGGATTTAATTAAAAAAAATGCCTGCAACTAGTGATGATGTGAGTGAATTTAAGGCCAGCAAAGGTTGGTTTGATGAGATTTAAGAAGCGTAGTGGCATCCATAGTGTGATAAGGCATGGTGAGGCTGCCAGTTCGGACCACAAAGCGGCTGAAAATATGTGCAGGAATTCAAGGAGTACATAGGACAGTGAAGGACTGAAACCTGAACAAGTGTTGAATTGTGATGAAACAGGCCTGTTCTGGAAGAAAATGCCAAGCAGGACCTACATTACTCAGGAGGAAAAGGCACTCCCAGGACATAAGCCTATGAAAGACAGGCTACTTTGTTGATGTGTGCCAATGCTAGTGGTGATTGCAAAGTTAAGCCTTTATTAGTGTATCACTCTGAAACTCCCAGAGCGTTCAGGCAAAAGAATGTCCTCAAGGATAATTTGTGTGTGCTGTGGAGGGCAAACAGTAAGGCATGGGTCACTAGGGACTTTTTCTATAACTGGTTACACCATGCATTTGCCCCCAATGTGAAAGATTACCTAACTGAAAAGAAATTAGAACTTAAGTGCCTCCTGGTGTTAGACAATGCCCCTGTCATCCTACAGACGTGGCAGAGCGACTTTATGGGGACATGAGCTTCATTAAGGTGAAGTTTTTGCCTCCTAATACCACTCCTCTCCTGCAGCCCATGGACCAGCAGGTTATTGCAAACTTCAAAAAAACTGTACACAAAAGCTCTGTTTGAAAGGTGCTTTGTAGTGACCTCAGAAACTCAACTGACTCTAAGAGAGTTTTGGAGAGAGCACTTTAATATCCTCAATTGTGTAAACCTTATAGGTAAGGCTTGGGAGGGAGTGACTAAGAAGACCTTGAAATCTGCTTGGAAGAAACTGTGGCCAGAATGTGTAGACAAAAGGGATTTTGAAGGGTTTGAGGCTAACCCTGAGAGGATTATGCCACTTGAGGAATCCATTGTGGCATTGGGAAAGTCCTTGGGGTTGGAGGTTAGTGGGGATGATGTGGAAGAGTTGGTGGAGGAGGACAATGAAGAACTAACCACTGATGAGCTGATAGATCAACTTCAAGAGCAAGAGGCCAGACCTGAGGAAACTGGTTCAGAGGAGGGGAGAGAGAAATTGAAGAAGTTGCCTACTACAAAGATTAAAGAAATCTGTGCAAAGTGGCTTGAAGTGCAAACTTTCATGGATGAAAATCACCCTTACACAGCTATTGCAAGCCGTGTTGGCAACCTGTACACTGACAATGTTGTGAAACACTTTAGGGAAGTCATAAAGGAACGAGAGGTACAGGCCACTATGGACAGATATGTTGTGCGAAAGAAGTCCAGTGACTCTGAAGCTGGTCCTAGTGGCATTAAAAGAAGAAGGGAAGTAACCCCAGAAAAGGACTTGACACCTCAAGTCTTAATGGAAGGGGATTCCCCTTCTAAACACTAACACTCTCTCTCCCCTCCTCCCATCCCATCAATCATCACCAGATCTTCAATAAAAGTAAGTGTCATGTAAGTGTGCATGCCTTTTTCAGTTTGTGTGTATTAAAATTAACATTTCATGTGGTAAAAATTTTTTTTTTTTCATACTTTTGGGTGTCTTGCACGGATTAATTTTATTTCCATTATTTCTTATGGGGAAAATTCATTCACATACCGATTATTTCGCATAACAATGAGCCCTCTTGCACGGATTAAAATCGTTATGCGGGGGTCCACTGTATCTAGTTTATCAACATATCAGCTTTCTGAATCATTTATCTACATTTATTCAGTATGTTCGATGATCTTTCCTCACTGAAAGATGCTGAGTGGCATCTCTGGGCACTCTGTATGAACACAGCGATTCTGCGTTGATGTTACTGAAATTTTGAGCTAATTTTTATTTTTTAATGTTTCTTTAAAGGGAAAGTTGCTCTGATATGCACGAAGTTCTCTGGATCGATGGATTTGAAGTTTACTCTTTCTCTCCTGATAAAACATTATACCCAGGGTACTGTATGACCATTACAAGTTTACCACTTCCTCATAATTATAATAATAATTTTAACACTCCAGCCATCTCCCTCCGAGATAGGATGACCTGACAAAATAGAAAAAAATTTCAGTAACTCATTCAGTTGCTGTCTTGCCAGAGGGTCACTGACATCACAGTCATAATAATTATAATAATCCTCCATGGGAAAGTGGAGAAGAATCCTTGCTCTGTAAGTCATGCTGGGAGCAAGGTCTAGTAACCCCTTCTGTGTATATTACTAAATTTAAAAAGAAAAAAAATTTGTTTTTTCTTTTTCGTTTCACTTGCCTCGGTGGGAGATGACCGATGTGTTAAAAAAAAAAAAAATATGACAAGCTCTCAAGAATTTCTGATTTTGGTGATTTTTTATGTATTGTTAATTAGTACATTTTGTGTTCTGGAAAGAGGGTTGATTTGAATTTCCCTTTTAGCTAGATTGCATATACAGTGGTCCCCCGAGTTTCGAACTTAATTTGTTCCAGGAGGCTGTTCGAGTGCTAATACTGAACGAATTTGTTCCCAATAGGAATAATGTAAATTAGATTAGTCCGTTTCATACCCCCAAAATACACTTACGAAAGCACTTACAAAAATACACTTACATAATTGTTCAAGTTGGGAGCTGTACGAAACTCGGGGTACCACTGTACTGTGGAACTTCGGTTGTTGAATTTAATTCATTCCAGTTGATGTCGATTCAACAACCAAAGCAGTTTTTCCCTAAAGGATAATGTAAATACAATTAATCTGTTCCAGACCCCAAATGACATTATAATCATTGATTAAAAATGTACTAAATACTACATAAAACTGTAAAAATTAATACTAAAATAAACTAACTGAAATACTGTACAGTAAATTAAAATATAACTGCCTTTTGCCTGTCAGAGGAGAGCTAATGGCATACTGGAAGCATGAGGTGGAGGAGAGGAGGGGGTATGTTACCACTTGGAAGGAGAGTCACCTAATAATGTCAGGCAACTCTCCTGGTGTTGTTTCTCTTCTTTGTCTATTTTCACCACTGACACCATGTTCTGGCTCACTGGTTCTTTGTCTCACTAAAAACCTGTTCAGTGTGGGTTGTTTCAGGTTCCGTTATAACACTTGTCTTACTTGAGACATTAGAGTGTCATTGTACGTGTTAGAGAGATGGATGGCCACTGCTTTGTCTCTGGATGGTATTTTTCAGCAAACTTCTGCACTTCATTCCATTTAGCACACATTTCCTTGACAAGTGCAATGGGCACATCATCCTTTCTCTCCTCTTCCTCTGATGACAGCTCCTCCACTGCAATCTGTTGCTGCTTCTTCTGAAGGTGTACAGGTTCTTCTGTGGTAAGTTTAGTTCTGTGCTCCTCCACCAACTCCTCCACATCATATTCGGTCACCTCTAGGCCTAAAGTCTTTCCCAGGGACATAATATCCTTTACTGGCTCAGGCTCATCTTCAAAGCCTTCAAAATCCCTGGCTGTCATAAAGTCAGGACACAGTTTCTTCCATGCTGACTACATGTCCCTGGAAGACACATCCCCCCAGGCTTTGTCTAAAAGCTTGAAGTAGGTGAGGATATTGAAATGGTCTTTCCACAATTCCCTGAGTGTTAAATTTGTTTCTGAAGTAACTTCAAAGCACCTTTATAAAGTGCTTTGATGTAGAGTTTCTTATAGCTAAAAATGACTTGCTGGTTCATTGGCTGGATGGGAGGAGTGGTGTTAGGAGGCAAGAACTTCATAGTTATAAAACTAAACTCCTCCAGCAACTTGTTTTCCAAGCTTGGAGGGTGAGCAGGAGTATTATCCAAAAGTAAAATGGCCCTGAGTGGCAATTGTTTTTAATGAGGTTCTGTTTGACAGTGGGAGCAAAGACCTCATGAACCCACTCAATAAAAAATTGTCTTTTTACCCAAGCTTTTGTGTTGGCCCTCCACATTACAGCCAGTTTGCTTTTCATAATGTTGTTGTTCCTAAAAACTCATGGTTTTTTGGAATGATAAATAGGTAAGGGCTTCAGTTTCAAGTCTCCACTTGCATTACCTCACAATAACAGAGTGAGCATCTTTCATTGGCTTGGGTTCTGGCATTGAGTTTTCCTCTTCAGTTATGTAGGTCTTCTTGGGCATTTTCTTCTAGAAGAGGCCTGTCTCAATACAATTAAACACTTGTCAGGGGAGAAATCCCTCAGTTTCTATGTACACTTGGAATTCAGTAAAATACTTTTCAACAGCCACTTGGTCAGCACTGGCATCTTTCCCATGCCTAGCCACACTATGAATGCCACGTCTTTTCTTAAAATTATCAAACCAACCCCTATTAGCCTTGAAGGATTGCATTTCAGCACTTTTTTTTTTTTCCAGGTCATCATACAACGGCCTCGCTTTTTCAGAAATAATGGCCTCTAACACACTATTACCATGTAACTGTTTTTCATTTACCCAAATCAACAAGAATTTTACAACCTCCTAAATAATTTGTGGCTTTTGCCTTGATATCACTTTCATGCTTTTTGCAAGGTCAGCTGCTTTAATTTTTTCCCTTTGGCCCAGTATTGTGCAAACGGTAGACTTTGATTTACCAAAAAGTTTTGCTATATCAACCACACAGAGTCTATCTTCTTCATACTTTTGAATGGTAACTTCTCTTTTTAAACTCACTTTTCTTTTTGCTTTTATCTCTTTATCCTTCTTTGGACCCATGATTGCTTACCTCACAATAAAAAAAAATTGACCAAAAACTACAGAATAACAAAAAAAGTTGACAAGATGCACAGCAAGAGCTCGAGAGATGCTTACAGCACACGCGTTAATTGCTGTACTGATTCAGACCCACACTGTGGACTCATTGTCTGGTGATCATGTGATCCAAGCCACTTTGTCCTGTTCGCCGTTGTCCATCGACAACCAAGAGCATGTACAAACACCAAGACATCTCTTTCTCGAATTCCTTATTCGACAACCGACTTGTTCAACAAGTAGTGCATTTGATAACCAAGGTTCCACTGTAGTGTATACTGTACTTCACAATGTTATACTGTACTCCAGCTACACAAAAAAATTTCTGTATATACACACACATTTCCTAGGTAGTAGGTTGGTAGACAGCAACCACTCAGGGAGGTACTACTCTCCTGCCAAGTGAGTGTAAAACGGAAGCCTGTAATTGTTTTACATGATGGTAGGATTGCTGGTGTCTTTTTTTCTGTCTCATAAACATGCAAGATTTCAGGTACGTCTTGCTACTTCTTCTTACACTTAGGTCACACTACACATGCATGTATGAGCATATGTATACACACCCCTCTGGGTTTTCTTCTATTTTCTTACTAGTTCTTCCTCTTGTTTATTTCCTCTTATCTCCATGGGAAAGTGGAACAGAATTTTTCCTCCTTAAGTCATGTGTGTCGTAAGAGGTGACTAGAATGCCAGGAGAAAGGGGCTAGTAATCCCTTCTCCTGTATACATTACTAAAGTTTGTTGAAAGAAGAAGAAGAATTCTTACACTCTCTTTTATCCCCATTGCCTGAGTTTTTTTTTTTTCATCAAACTATAACGAGTTTATTTGGGGGACTGAAAGCGGGTGTGAATGATACGTGTCTTCGGAGGCTTCTTTGTTTATTGAAAAGTGTCGTGGTGGGTACACAGGCTTGTGTTGTGCCCATGGCCCGGGCAGGGCCATCCCACGAGAGAGAGCTGGGAGTACTTGTGTCTTCCTGCTAGGCCGCTGTGAGAGTGAGAGCGAGGCATGGGCAGACAGGCTGGCGTGCCTACCGAGAGGCCTGGCTACAGAGGGCAACACTTGAGTGGTGCGAAATATGAACTAAGCTGGCAGACAGCATGGGCTGTCTGTGCAGACAGTGCAGGCTGTCTACATACGCTCGGCCACCTACCTCGCGTCGTCCCAACGCGACAATACTGGTGGTAAAAGGAACCCGGTCTCTCTCTCGTTGGAACAGGGCACAGAACACAAAATAAAAACATATATATACATATGGACATGGAAAAAAAACTTCCTACAGGGAGGGAAGAAAAAAACATGTGGGGTGTGCTAAACATCGTGGTCAAAGGCAGTGAGCGTCAATGGGCATCACTGCACGCCTTCCTGCGTCTGGACAGATACTGCAACACAGGAGACATCGCTGCAGCTGAGCTGTGACGTAACAGGTTACGGTCTCCTCTGGAACGGTGAAGCAGTCATCGTAGGAGCCGCTGCAGGTTTTCACTCAACCTGGGGCACGACATGCTGGTGCCCTCGAGTGAGGCGTCGACAAAACTCGGCAACTGGGCAGGACTTCTGGCAAGTGACTCAGGAGGACACTTCTCGACTGGTACTGTCGCTGGGCTGTCACTGCCGGCGAGCGTGGAGCGAGTTGTGGAGCGAGTCGTGGCAGAGACGACTGGGCGAAACATCTGGGAGTCGTAACATCATACACCAGACTGCAGTGAGCGAGCTAGCAGTCAAAGTGACATCATCTTTGTGCAGGCTGCTCACTGAAGCTTGTGACACGAGGCTGACATAGCGTGTCATTCTCTCGGCAGTTGGAGTTATAGCAGAGGTTAGTCTAAGCGTCCCCAGACTTGTTTCTCTACATATAACTGCACTGTGACGGTCTGGAGGTGAAGTGAAACAAATCTCGATGGGAATCGTAGCAGGTACGATTCTGCAGAACATCACGAGCGACGAGCATAAAAGCTTTCTGTACAAGAGGGCTCGGTCACTCAGGGCTGTCTTGACATCAGCTGTCATATGCACTGGTCACATCGGGTGACTTAGCACAGTGGTGCTACTCAGGTCTGGCTCAGACCTCACTGGTCACACGGAAACTTTAAACACACCCGCTGTACATGCGGTACAACATGGCTTAAACTAGCAAATGATGCTTTTCTGTGAATAAAACTGACACTAAGACATATACTAAAATGTGAGAACACTGACTGAGAGGAATTAACACACGACATATATCTTCTCTTAGTCTTCTCGACA